ATTCATAGATTGTAGAGCATCTGACAGTGAGTCCAAGTTGGCCCCTCCTCTACTGTCAACATTATCAGCTCTACTTAACCATTGGGAGAGGCACTCTGTCACACAGCGATACACGTCACCACGATACTTCAATTCAATGACATCCATTGTATTCTTCTTTAGTCCTAGTCTCAGTCCAAGCTCATACCATTTTGTTTCTGGAAACCCACATCTCTTCAATAAGTCTAAAACATCAACAAGATCATCAACACCTACAAAACAAAATCAAATTGGTAGATTTAATCTTATAATCGAAAAATGTACTATGCATAAATCAGAAAATTTAACTAGATCTAGTAGAAAAATTGTTTCAAAACTTTTTGTGCTGTAACTTAATTTTATGCAATAAGACTGCGGATGTATTAACTACTAAAAATCACACATAAATTTACTATCTATATATAATTGAATGTGATGATTGTAAAGATATGTATTATAATTAATTTCTAATACCTAAACAAGTTTGACTAGTAGCCATAGCAATGAGTTGATCCTGTCCTGAGGCCAGGACCTCACACTGAACTTTTCTTTCTTTAGTTTCTTCTTCTTTACAGTTCTTTGCTTCGATGTAGACTAGCTTCGATGCTTTTGGGAATTAAAAGCCTTTAAGGGCGTGGCTAAATGAAATAATTTTTAATTTTTATTTCAATTCCTATTATTAGAATACTAAGAATACAAAAAGTCTGATGAAACTGATGATGAACTCTTCTTGAGATAACAGATTTTACTAATGCCTCCCCGTGGGAAAGGTAAGTATCAGCTCCTTTATATAATTTATCAAACATTCTCTAGTTTTGTCTCCACCATTGAAGACATATTGCAACAGTGGGGCCTCACTGCATCCACTTATTCAGTAAGACATTAAGAGTCTCTCAGTCACTGTATCTCTTCTTAAAGGCAGATTCTGGTTATTGGCCACAGCATAGGAAGTCAGAGAAGTTCTCTTATGTTAGACATAATTTCATTGTTAGCCTCCACGTGTCTGGTGAGAAGAAACAAGCGATACCGAAACAATCAGGTGATTGGTGGTAGTGGGTGTGGTTTCCTATAGATCAGGGTTGGCCTGATGCTATGGTACATATGATGGATTCATCAAGTGATTTCCCTCCAAGAGCTCATCATCATATCTCTAGATGGTAATAATTATCGTATAGTCGTATACATGTACATGTACCGGTACTTGTAATTATTATTTCTAATAATTTCAGGATGGTGACATTTGGTTTAAAACTCTTATATTATTTTCTAATAATAATTTTTTGACTGTGTACACTCATCATTTGTTGTACATGTCTTTATTTGTGTCCATTTACATGTACATGTACATTTAAGAAAATTTGAGCTAATTCTAACAATCAAAATTAGATTTTTTTGTGAGTTTTTAATTTGCTCAAATATCAGGTCAAGGTCCCTGTGCCATAGTACAGGGTCCTTGGCCAAATTTTGCTGAAAATGAATTGTAGAGAATTCTTCATTTTTATGATTTTTTGTGATGTTCTTATGGTGTGTAGCAAGTTTAAGCTGTTTCCAATCAAATTCGGATTCTTTATGAATTTTTGATAATGTTTCAAATGCCATGACAGCTCATAAAGCATGCATGCTTTTTAGCTCACTTACAATGTAGCATGCTTTGTCGGAATACCTATATTATTTAATTTTGTATCCTATGCATGTAGTTCATAATTATTATTAAAAATACAATCAATCATTAGGTATGGTGTTGATCAGTTTATATTGATATCTCCTGATGAGAAGAGTCATGCAATATCAAGTGAAGCTCAGT